TTAAGTTTTTAAAGTTTTATTTTAGTTTTGTTATAATCTCTTACATTCTTGTGATGTTATATTTATAACCTCTTACACATTGTAATGTTATGTTGATGACCTCTTACATGTTTGTAATGTTATATTTATAATTTGGATCTCTCACACGTTGTGATGTCATATTATTAGAATGATTTAATAAATTGAATTTATAATATTTTACTTATTTATAAATCATCATCATAATTATTAAATACATATTAATTTGTAAGAAGATTTCTTAAGTCACTTTTTAGCTAACTAGTAATTAAATAAATACATATTATCACCTTTAATTATTTATTTTATCTCTCCCACCTAACTTGAAACATGTGTTGAACATGTAAAAAGATATAATATATTTGAAATCCAAGTAAAACAGTAATAATATAAATTTTATTTTTCAACATTTTTATTTTGTTCTTTAATCCAAGTATCCCACATGCTTTTGCTTAATTTTTCCATAATGTTATTCTCCACCTTACCTTTTTTTTTTAATTAAGCCAATATTTTCATCCACATTGCATAACAACAATTACTAAACAAATTAGTATTTGGTTGTTATTTGTATCATTAGTTCTCTAAGTCATTGGATCTTCTAAGTCTCCTTTTCAAGATACCAATTATATCAAATATAACACAAAGAGGGATATTGCTTTTGATATCATGCTTATGAAAAGGATAAATAATAAAAAGGCAAGCTATTTTCTTCAAAACCCATCACTCTTATGCTGTCATTGTTGTCTATCTTTTTCGTTTTCTTTTCCTTTCTTCCTGCTCACCTGTTAAATGCAAAGTGCAATCAATAGAACGTGACTAAATTGCAAACACATGTTCTGATATACCTTGATTATATCGTAAAAGCTCCATGTTCTTCACAATTTGCTTGCATTGTTGGACCCATTCATCACTGGCTTTGTGTTCCTTCCACAGAACGCCATCTTCTTTTTCAACAGGATCAACATATGATATCAACAACTTGTGCAATAATAATTCTACATCATTATCTTTGTCATTAAGACATGCATACACACTCTTGGAGAGTCCATAAATGCTCAAATGTCCCATCCTATCCTTGACATCTGTTCGTGTTTTCATCCCAATGTCTAACGTATAGTTGCACTCTATGTCTTCAGATGCCACACCAAGACTCATATAAATGCCAAGATAGGGTAATGGGAAAGGTATGCTGCTGTCAATTCCAATATAACGAGCTGTCTGTTTGAATATATTATCTGTCT